ATTTGCGTAGTAGGACTAACGATGGCTATCCGAGTACAGAACCAGAGTACGAAACCTATCCAACTGCAGAGTTGTACGACAGGGTGACGTTATATCCCCAAAACTGCTGCTGCCTATCTCTCATATAGCCAGCAAAGTATTTGCGTAGTAGGACTAACGATGGCTATCCGAGTACAGAACCAGAGTACGAAACCTATCCAACTGCAGAGTTGTACGACAGGATGACGTTATATCCCCAAAACTGCTGCTGCCTATCTCTCATATAGCTAACAAAGTATTTGCGTAGTAGGACTAACGATGACTATCCGAGTACAGAACCAGAGTACGAAACCTATCCAACTGCAGAGTTGTACGACAGGGTGACGTTATATCCCCAAAACTGCTGCTGCCTATCTCTCATATAGCTAGCAAAGTATTTGTGTAGTAGGACTGACGAGGGCCATCCGAGTACAGAACCAGAGTACGAAACCTATCCAACTGCAGAGTTGTACGACAGGGTGACGTTATATCCCCAAAACTGCTGCTGCCTATCTCTCATATAGCCAGCAAAGTATTTGTGTAGTAGGACTAACGAGGGCTATCCGAGTACAGAACCAGAGTACGAAACCTATCCAACTGCATAGTTGTACGACAGTGTGACGTTATATCCCCAAAACTGCTGCTGCCTATCTCTCATATAGCTAGCAAAGTATTTGTGTAGTAGGACTGACGATGGCTATCCGAGTACAGAACCAGAGTACGAAACCTATCCAACTGCAGAGTTGTACGACAGGGTGACGTTATATCCCCAAAACTGCTGCTGCCTATCTCTCATATAGCTAGCAAAGTATTTGCGTAGTAGGACTAACGATGGCTATCCGAGTACAGAACCAGAGTACGAAACCTATCCAACTGCAGAGTTGTACGACAGGGTGACGTTATATCCCCAAAACTGCTGCTGCCTATCTCTCATATAGCTAGCAAAGTATTTGCGTAGTAGGACTAACGATGGCTGTCCGAGTACAGAACCAGAGTACGAAACCTATCCAACTGCAGAGTTGTACGACAGTGTGACGTTATATCCCCAAAACTGCTGCTGCCTATCTCTCATATAGCTAGCAAAGTATTTGTGTAGTAGGACTGACGATGGCTGTCCGAGTACAGAACCAGAGTACGAAACCTATCCAACTGCAGAGTTGTACGACAGGGATGACGTTATATCCCCAAAACTGCTGCTGCCTATCTCTCATATAGCTAAGCAAAGTATTTGCGTAGTAGGACTAACGATGGCTATCCGAGTACAGAACCAGAGTACGAAACCTATCCAACTGCAGAGTTGTACGACAGGATGACGTTATATCCCCAAAACTGCTGCTGCCTATCTCTCATATAGCTAACAAAGTATTTGCGTAGTAGGACTAACGATGGCTATCCGAGTACAGAACCAGAGTACGAAACCTATCCAACTGCAGAGTTGTACGACAGGATGACGTTATATCCCCAAAACTGCTGCTGCCTATCTCTCATATAGCTAACAAAGTATTTGCGTAGTAGGACTAACGATGGCTATCCGAGTACAGAACCAGAGTACGAAACCTATCCAACTGCAGAGTTGTACGACAGGATGACGTTATATCCCCAAAACTGCTGCTGCCTATCTCTCATATAGCTAGCAAAGTATTTGTGTAGTAGGACTAACGATGGCTGTCCGAGTACAGAACCAGAGTACGAAACCTATCCAACTGCAGAGTTGTACGACAGGGTGACGTTATATCCCCAAAACTGCTGCTGCCTATCTCTCATATAGCTAGCAAAGTATTTGTGTAGTAGGACTGACGATGGCTATCCGAGTACAGAACCAGAGTACGAAACCTATCCAACTGCAGAGTTGTACGACAGGATGACGTTATATCCCCAAAACTGCTGCTGCCTATCTCTCATATAGCTAACAAAGTATTTGCGTAGTAGGACTAACGATGGCTATCCGAGTACAGAACCAGAGTACGAAACCTATCCAACTGCAGAGTTGTACGACAGGATGACGTTATATCCCCAAAACTGCTGCTGCCTATCTCTCATATAGCTAACAAAGTATTTGCGTAGTAGGACTAACGATGGCTATCCGAGTACAGAACCAGAGTACGAAACCTATCCAACTGCAGAGTTGTACGACAGGGTGACGTTATATCCCCAAAACTGCTGCTGCCTATCTCTCATATAGCTAGCAAAGTATTTGCGTGTAGTAGGACTAACGATGGCTATCCGAGTACAGAACCAGAGTACGAAACCTATCCAACTGCAGAGTTGTACGACAGGATGACGTTATATCCCCAAAACTGCTGCTGCCTATCTCTCATATAGCTAACAAAGTATTTGCGTAGTAGGACTAACGATGGCTATCCGAGTACAGAACCAGAGTACGAAACCTATCCAACTGCAGAGTTGTACGACAGGTTGACGTTATATCCCCAAAACTGCTGCTGCCTATCTCTCATATAGCTAGCAAAGTATTTTAGAAGATGTGGAGTGAAACCAACACTAGTCAATTTTGTCAATAATACATCGTTATTTACCGAATCAAACGCCTTTTTAAAGTCAAAATAAGCCGCCTCCACCTGTTCACCCTCTCAGTATCTACTGTGGGCACAATTCGAGCCATATCTAAGTAGATTACTGTCAGTACTTCTTTCTGGTCTGAACCCATATTGAGCGTGTGATAATTGCGTGCTAACCTTTAATAATAAGTTGTAATGGATTGCGGACTCTAGTATCATGAACTATAGAGGTAGGGAGGACAATCTCCCATAGGAGAATAGTTGAAAATGTGTCCATCTGTAAGCAGTAAATAACAGTTCAAAAACTCTCCACTACAGCACTCGAGTAGCTACAGGGTATGATAAATCGCCGTATAAATCACCGTAAAATACGTTGAGAGTGGTTTTGAAAACAAAATTTTGAAAGCAATAAAATAATTGTTGTAAAAAGAATTGTGGTGAAAGTCTGTGCAATAAAAAAATTATAAAAGTTGTTTAAAATTTAGACTGTAGCTACAGTGGCGCCACCCTTGTTTAGCGCTGTTCTATGGACACTTTTTTATACAGAGCCTGTACTCTGTATCCAGAACCAATCGACAATCCTTAAAGATGTAAGGGGGGATACCATCTGCACCCGCAGATCTTTTCGGCTGGAGTTTTGGAGCGCTTTTCTCACTTCATCTATGTGTAGCCTCTCTAGGTGGACTCGTGCCGCACCATTCTCACTTCCTGCTTCTGCTACCGCTGCATTTACATTCAAATCCGCTCGTCGGGTAGTAGTAGAAAAGTGGAAATATTTTGCCAACTCTTTAACACCTTGCTCTTCAGATAAGATATTTCCGTTTTATAAAATTTTCTATAGATTTCTATGTTCTCTTTTGGTCTTAATGTAATTCCAAAATAATTTTGATTTCTTTAAAAGATTATTTTGAACCATCTCTTGGTATTGTTTTTCAACCATTTCTATCTTTTTTTTAACATTTGCCCTACACCTGGAAAACGTATCGTAATCGATTATGGATTTACTAGTCTTATACCGTTTATATAGCCGTTTATGTCTTATAACGTTTGTGTTGTAGCTTTTTGTTTAATGGCTCAAATCATTTCTTTATTGTATCACTCAGGGTATGCATAGAGTATAAAGAACGTCCGCTCTTACCAGGCACGTAACAATCTATAATCGAGTTTAAAGTATTATAGAAAAAGGATATACTATCATCCAAGCCCAACTCATAAATTGGAGGCCAGTCTATGCGGCATACAATAAAGGAAAATCAGCTTAATTAAAATTGCAACGTATTATGGTGTCCTCCAAAGGGAAGTCTAACTCCTCGCCATTATTACCCAGTCGTGTAGATCATGTTTAATGTCCATGTCACACCTATGCCGGTAGTTGTTGGGAGCGCTAAGCTCAAAGTTGTTGACGAGTACATTTACCTGGGATAAATAATCCGACTAGGGAAGTCGGACTTCGACCGAGAGTTCAATCGACGGGTTCAACTTGGCTGGGCAGCATACGGGTAATTACGACACATCTCGTCAGCTATACGTCAAAACCTGAAAACGAGACTATACAACCACTGCGTGTTGCCAGTGATGATCTATGGAACTGAGACGTGGTCCTTCACTGCTGGCCGTATGAGGACGCTCAAAGGCGCTCAGCGAGCTATGTATGGCAATAGAACCAGAGTGATCGACATAGCCCAAAGGATTAGTAAGCTGAAGTGGCAATAGGCCGCCCATATAGCTCGAAGAACCGATAACCGATGGGGAAAAAAGGTTTTCGAGTGGCGGCCTCTTACTGGTAGGCGTAGTGTTGCGCGACCCCCTACTATATAGAGTGACGACCTGGTAAGACATGCAGGAAGTCGATGGATGCAGGTGGCTCAGGGGAGGCCTATGTTCAGCTGTGGTCTTGTGAAGGGCTGCAATTATGATGAAGTAAAGGTAAGGAAGAGTATTCGGTTTAATGCATTGCTTATACTCGTATATATCGGATTGGGTAAACTACCCTCGTTATCGTCCGACATACTAATTTATTTTTCCCGTGGGCGTAATACGGGAGGTGTTGGTTTAAAATAATAAAAAGCCGTCACGATAGTTAATAACAATGTAATTCTAGGTAAAAATCACTTAAATAATCGCTAACATAAATCACAACGTAACTATGTACAAATTATACGGAACGCGGGACAGTTTCTAGACGACTTCACTCTCCGACAGCCCACGGTAGTGTCTGTGCAGCTCCGGTCGGCCGCTACGTCGTAGACTGCCGCTACGTCGTAGACTCTGTCCAGTGCCACCGGATGGCGCTTGCGTTCTGATTGTTTAAAATAATCATTCCGAAAGTACCGACTCGATTGCGACATATAAGTTATACAATGTTGTTAATTTATTGTTAGAAACAATACATATTGTACGGCCTATAACATTTTTACTGGTGGTTATGTTGATCCGAGTGGCTGGTAATGTTCAATGAGCTCGCAGTGGATCCACATCACGATCCTGGAGCGGCTGGTTCGCGCGTTGGACGAGGTGGACGCGGAGCTGATGCGGCTGGGGCTGGGCGAGGCGCGGCCCGGGCTGGCCAGCGCTGAGCGGCTGCGCCAGCTGGCGGCCGCGCTACCGCTGGGCTCGCTGGCCGCGCTGCTGCCCTACCTGGAGCCCTTCCCCGACCAGCGCTACGTCGTGCGCCGCATCCGCGACCTGGCCCGAGCTCCTTGCCTCAGCAACTACCGCTGGGACGCTGGGGCCTCCGACTGGGACCCCACTCAGCCCACTGATGCCGATATTATCCTGCACCTCTTCGCTACGTACCTAGATGGACAGGTTGGTTCATATTTAAATTTTCCTGAAACAATATGCAAAAAGATGTACTACCGGGTTTGAATATGGCGGCGCCTCTATTCACCTCTCGCTCGAACATTGTCGCTATCTATACTCACACCCGCCGATAACGACTGCATAAAAAAATACGTTGCGATATGTGTTTTTCTTACGTTCTATAACTTGTCCAACTTGTTATTGAAATTAATAATAATGGTGGAGCGGTAGGGTTGCTAAATCTAAATCCAGAATGAAGGGCCACAAAATGGTGACGCTAATGGTTCCTGGGTTCGAATCCAGAAACGGATGGTCAGTAAATGGGTAGGCTGTCTAGGTTGCCCTTCGTATCCGGAGAGAAGGAACCACAAAATGGTTGGGCCGTAGGGTCCCAGGGTTCGATTCCGGGAATAATGACTGGACTGTATTTAGCGTAGTTCTCTATAACCAAAACAAGATGGCGGATGTGGCATGTGACCGGTTTTGGGCAATGCACTTGCTAGGACCTAATTTACTGTATCTGCTGGCAGGGCCAGGAGCATGAGCTGCTGTGGGAAAAGAGCAACAAATGAGAACAGCTCAAGACAGGAAAATGCACTTATTTGGGCGTTGATCTTCTGATTACCTCCTACTCAGGCCTCGAAGTTGATGGCGCTACGTTGCAACTGCGGTGGTGCGCGACGATAAATGCACTTGTGCACGACGAAAATTGCACTATGCAAAGCAGTCACTATTAAGTTGTTCTGTGGTCTGACTGCTGCAGAGGTACTATCATATCCAAAGTCGAGCTTTAACTGCCCGAGCGACCGCGGCACGTCGACAACTCTAATCGGCCGGTGGCGTGTTTCCCCTTCCACTTTTTGCGTAGCCCCCTCTTTGGGTGCGCAAAATGACGCCACCATGCCTAGCCTTTTATTGGACATGCCCGTGCAGGAAGGAAGCGGAAGTAAAGAGGAAGGAAGTACTGCCAGCTAATATAGTTAACTAAATGTGCGTTTTGGCGCATCGAAATTACAAAATGCCATAAACCACAAAAAATCAGTCCAGTTATGCTAATTTGTGAGCTACGACACGTTCTGAGTTTTCTTCATAATTTAATGATATTTAAATTTATTTTTGTCATTGAGAAAAAGCTTTTATTTTTAAAAAAAATCTTTCCCCTGTTTGTCCGAGCTAATCTTCGAAACGGCTGAACCGATTGCAATAAAACTTTACGAAAAAATAAAGTGTAATACCAGAAGAGATCTAGACTAAATTTAGAGATTTTATTAAAATAGAAATATTGATGAGATAAAATAAATGGGCTTTAATGGCAGTGGTGAAGCCTCTATAGAAGCCGAAAAGCCGGGCTTGACCTATCAAACTGAATCAATTAATAATATCAATCAATAATATCAACTAATAAAATAACTCGTAAACTGTTTCAAACTATTCCAAATTTCCCGCGAACTCCACTGTTCGACACAGATCGACCGATGACCTCGTATTGTCTTACCTATTCGTATTGCATTGCCTAGCGATACTGCTGCTATCATAAAAAATGGGTTTTAATAGAGCGATTAGTTGTCTCCCTCGCTCGCGTGGGCTTTTTATGGGGCTTTCGAGAAGACGATCGCTCTCTTTCTAACCTATGGCAAAATATTCTACAATGAAATATAACTACGATTGTATATATAGCAATTAGTATAGAGAGTTAATGCCAGGCTTTAGGAATGAAGTTGTCGAGAGCGGAGGCGCGCGGGCAATACGTTTGCAAGTTCATTTCACATTTCAATGTTTTTTTACTCTGTGTGTTTAGCGTAAGCGATTTAATATTGCGAGTTGAAAATTTATGCCTTTTTAAAAAAAATTGTGAAAATGGGGGATAATAGTGTTCCTTGTGATGAATTGAAGTGTGTTAAAGTGCTAATCGGAGAGGAAAAGGTAAAATCTTTAAACTTTGTTGAGATAATACACAAGGTCAAGAGTGTATTTCAGACTTATCAATTATCGCAATTAAAAACAATTATTGGTATAATTAAGACGTTCACCAACATTTTACGTGGACGTAATTAAATCTTTCCTTAAGAAAGAGAGACGATTCCATTTAGAATGTAAATATTTTTTTTAATTTTGTACATAGTTTGTACTTTGTTCGTGTTTTACTTTTGTTCATGTATTGTGTTGTATATAAATATCTTTTTCTTTCGTTCAAACAAACCCAAACGGCTTTCTTCAAAGCCACCGAAGCTATGCAATTACTGATATGTAATACAATCTATCTAGGAGTAGTATGCCTTCTGTGTGCTTTGTTAAACACGTCCTTGACAGCACTGAATATGAAACTGAAGCGTGGAGACAGATCAAGATTGGTGTATTTTTATAAAACTGCTAAAAACAACAATCTATATTTTTATCAATTTATATCTTGGGCTTGCCCTAGTTTGGAGCTCTAGCTTCGCACTACTACTAGCACTGTACTACTACTGTACTGTACTAGCACTGTTTAATGGTTATCTTAAGTCTAAGTAACGCCATGTTATTAGAAACCACCCAGGCAAAGTCAGAGGCGGTCGCTACTTATAAATTTAATTTTAAATTATTGTACCTACTTGCGTGTACAGTTTTTTCAAATATTTTCTCATTAATAGAAAAGTTCCAATTAATCGGAATATATAACGTTATTAGTGGGTTTTCGCTAATGGTACTGTACATGTTGTCGGTACGGGCTCTATGAACCGCCATATCTAATCCTATTATTTATCCGTACGGGCTATATATACTTTATCGCAACATTATGCAAAAAAAATTGAAGTCATGCTTACAGAGGTAATTATCAATACAATGGTAACTGTAGGTAGTCAAGTTAACGGGAGCGGTGGAGGCGTTTTTAAAAACTAAGATAAAACTAAGAGATGTCCGTACAGAAGCTCATGTACTTCAACAATGGCAAACTTATTCTAATACATCTTTCATGCAGACGTTATTACATTTGCTTACTCAAGTGACGCGATATAGGCCACACACAGGGTGCAAAGTCAGCAATAGCATTTATGCACGTACTTGTATCACTCTGTGTGGGGTCGAATCCATGACTCTTCCCTTCTCAAGAGCGAAATTATCGGTTACGGTACATAGTTTATATCTAATTATAATTACAATACAGAAAATAATTGGTAGAATTACATACAAAATTATCGTTCCTAAACTCACAATTTTAACGTTAATAGCACTTGCATTTTCACTGAGATTTATTTTGTTAAATTTTACTAGTTGAACCAGTTGTTTAGTTTCGTCTAAATTTATACCTTTTAAACTCACTTCACTGACAATGGGAGGCTTCGAAATCCAATTTCGCCTTCACAGAAATCGTCTACAGTGATTATGTAAGTACCACATAACAGTTCATGAGTGACGTCATTGTCGCACTTTCTGTTAAGTATCCTATGGCTTCTCACGTATAGTATCCAGCTTTCGTGGCTTATTCGTTGGATTTTGGGATCTTCAATGTCCACAGTATACTGTTCACAGGCATCGAGGTTTGCTTGAAACTCCATGAGCTGTTCCACGCAGCTTTGTTCTGTATGCAGCAGCACATCGTCGTTATTGCACAGGAATTGGTTGTCCAAAGCAATTTGTTTACAGGCTCTCGGGACTGGCATGTATTCTTTTTCTTTCACCAATAGGTATGGGTATTTGGCAATAACTATAATAGTTTTGTTTGCAATAGCAATTGGTAATGAATACATTTTGAAATAACTATATGTTTTATTCCCTACTAAAGGGACCTCTAAGATAAACGTGATCTGGTTTCCTTTCATAAAAGCCTTAACCTTAATACAATTTTCTAATTTCATTTACAGGATATAACAGATTTTCAGTTGTCGCGATTGATTGTAATAAATTTAACAATTCCGTAGAGTTAAAAATTGCTTGATGCAGAACAGATACCTTACTGAATGCTAGTGCAGTTTCAATTTCTCCTAGTATTACGTTAATAGTTCTAAAATAACTCAAAAACATGTCAAACATACCTAGGACATAGGTAGAATAAATGGAGTTTTCTTCTTTTGTAATTAGGAATTTAACAATTCTTTCAATTCTCTTCAAGCGTTCATCTAAAATTAAAGTATTGTTATGTAAGGTCTCTGTACTGTTGATGAAACTATCCAAGATTTTGGAGACTAATGTAATTCTCTTATCCGACACAACCTGATTATCGTTTAGTTTAGAAATCAATGAGTCATATCGGATGGCATCATCATGATCCAAATTTCCAGTTACTATTTTTATCATAGACCCAAGCGGGTCAATAATGCCTCTCTTAAATCTTTTCGATGGCACAAGTTGCCGAAATTTTTCTATAGTTGCATCTCTTAAATACCCTACATGTGTTCGAATAGCTAAAAATTTATGAATATATGGTTTATTAACATCTATCAACGCAACGAATTCGTCGTACTTTAATATACTAAAATCTAAATCACTACCTATAACTTCTAAGTTTAAAGTTTTAATAATAAGCCAATTGTCTATTTGCAATGAGGCACGACCCAGTTTGACAGACAGGATTCCTGGGTTTTTTTTCAAGTTTTCGAAGTTGAAGGGCCCACCTTTCTGAACCATCGTCAGAATTATTATACACCACCTGTGGAGAACGTTTAATTTTTTAATTGACACTGAAGTATTTCTATTACCAATCCTAACAGGAACTATATTTCTTTCTATATTACCACTAACGACAGCTTTCCTATATCTAGGTTTATCTTTACTTCTTCTTATGTTAGATTCCTTGGCGTATACAACGTCTCCTATTCTAAAATTTCTATCTGTTTCGCCGCCCTTTTGTTCCCTTACCTTTTCCTTTTTCTCTAACATTTTATCTGATATGTAATTATATATATATATATATATATATATATATATATATATATATATATATATATATATATATATCTAATACGTTTAGCATGATCTTTTAATAGTTGTTGGGTGTAGCATTTCTCGAAATTTATAAGCCATAATTG